TGAACCTTAAAAACAGACGCTGGCCTGTTGGTACAAACATATTGCTGCTCAGAAGGCTCACGGTAACGCCGCTTAAACGGGCCCTGCATTCATATTTAAGCGTCAACCTTTTTTGCGGTTTCCACGTCTCTTGGGGTGCGGGCAAGCCAGCGGGCATCGAGAGAGTAACTAAATATCAGTGCATCATATTTTCACCGGGCGACGCAGACACCTCCTCCATCGACAGGGGCGACCCGCGGTATCGAAAGCGCGCGATATAAGACGTTTTTGGTCCTGGGCTTACTACTGGTCAGAGCCGCTAAAAGCTTCTTTTTAGTCAAAATACTAAATATAAGGGGCGCGAACCGTTTTAGTGATTTATAAAAATAGTTTTTGTTCACTATTTTAGATAAAAAAAAAGAAACAAATCCAGTTTATAAAGTAGGGAAACAAAAAATGACCCCTCGACATACCCGCCACCAAGCGGTGGAAAAGTCGGCGCATACCAAAAAGGAGTAGTGGGATCAGGCGCCTACACTGAAAAGTCCCGGATGTACGCGGCGGCGCTGCGGTCGTATCGACTGGTGGATCCGACCAGCTCCGAGCGTTCCAAAGGCCTTCGGCGAGAAGCTTTGTCTTGCGGTTTGGCCGTTTCGCGGTTTGACAGCGAGAAGTGGATCTTATTCTGAACTGATCTTTACCCCGTGTTTGCTCTCGTTTGTGGCCAATCAAGTGTCTTGCCGAATTAGTGTTTAATCGCGCAGAAAATGCAATGAGAGCCGCTCTTGCATACAGCCTATTAGAACATGCTTTAGTGGCGCCCTCTCGCGCCGTCGACACGGAATGCGGCAGCCGTGAGCGCTCGCTGGGCTAACTTCCCCTCCTCTAGTTCACGGCCACTCAAGCAACCAAGGATGTCATAAAGGAGGTTATTTTTGCTTGTTTTTGTCATTTTTATTTGCTTATAGCTTTTAAAATAAAGCGAAATTCAAGAAAAGAAATGTTTCATTAAGTTACTACGTTCAGTGCGCTCAGGTTCGGTGCAAATTAAAATCGAGTAAAAAAAGTCCATGCAGGGCCCGTTTAATAGTTCTCATTTTATGATAAGTCCCGTAAATTGAGGCATGCTTGATGATTATTATTTCATTGATGGCTAAAATATAAAAAATAAATAAATCACATGCAGTTACGCTTTTTATGTATATGTAAATACAAGATAGAAATAACGCGAGTGTATTTTATTATCTTCAAACACTTCTTCAAATAATCTGGTTTTATATAGTTTGGCATGTCAAACTTAGAATTAACCATGGTTAAATATACCGTTCTCAAATGAAGAGTAGAGTCTAAGGTACTAAGAATGAACTGTTTAAGGACAAAGTTGAAGCGTTGAAAATAAATGTTATACGGCGCGTGATGGGCGAGTGCAACACTTGCAGCGCTACGCCCAGCAACTTTTGCGGTTTCTTTCACACTCATTGCAAAGAGTGCCCAAAATTGTATTTGGGAAATATTTTAAATGCAGGATATGGAGACGCAATGCTTTTGTATTTTATAATATTGGCAAATACGTGCCCTAAAATGTAATAAATATAAAAAATAATACGCTCAAAGCATTTAGTAAATATTTGAAATATTAGTATTTTAAAAACTGCCTCTTCTCGGCACTGTGCTAAGCATCTCAGCGAAGTATCGGTAGCTATTGAAAATTGTCCTCAGACTCCCACCCCGCGGTGTAGTGCGCGTTTTTGTGTACAGAAACATAGCTTCTACACTCGCACAACAAACAACGCAGAAAGCTTGTGTGTGGAAGGATAAGCTTCTACACGAAAGCTTCCATAGACCAATTTTGCATGAGGTATTTCCGCAGCGAAATCGTGGTACCGTACACTTTTGGTGAATCATATCGACACATGTGTTTGCAATCTGTGGAGGCAATGCCCACGAGCTTCGTCCGTGTTCGGGGGGTCGTGAACGGCTGCCCTAACCAAAATAGTCGGAGACTGAAGAGATCATCCACTCGTAATCGAAAAGCGATTGAGACAAGCTGGTCCTCCCACAGTAGACTTTTAGGCGTCAATAAGGACCTCGACAGGTACGTCGAGACGACATTGACAGACATAAAAACATACTGAGCTTGTGTATGCGACCCACATTTGTCCTGATTTGCTGCTTCGATTGTGTCATCCCATGATGCGCTTCATTTTACTTTGAGACACATGAGAAACACTGTTGGCTGTAATGCGTCACTTATGATGACATTACCGCTACCTCGTTACTTTTTTCTGTGACATGGTAACGCACTCGTCACGATTTCAAAACGGCAACGGATAGCATACTTACGCTCCTTATTTTGAGTAGCAAGTAACTTGTTTACGTTACTAATTACATTTTCCAAAAACTTAAACAAATATTTTGCTTCATTTTTTTAGGCGCCAAGTCAAATGAATTATTGCGTTTATCTTCCATAGCTTGAAAATTTTGCCTCTTTCTTCCAAATGTTGCCTCTTTCTTTACCATGCAAGCACTCCCACTTTAGAAAAACACCCAGAGCCCAAGTGCTTTGCCCATTGTCAAAAAACGCTGTATTTTCGTAAAACGTAACGCAAAAATAACGTGCTGAACGGTTTATCAGTAGCGGTAACGCGCCTCTTTATTTTGAAGTGACGAGTAGATTATTTAGTTTCTTCCTTTTTTTTTTTGTTAACGCATACAGAACTGACTAGAAAGAAAAAAAAAAATCCGATGAAAACTAAGGACTGTTTTTAAGCAAGCCAACAACGTGAATGTTTGACACGCTTCACCGTCATGCGGGCGAATGTTTCTCCTCAACCTTGAAAGGGGAGTTAATGAAGGGCGAGTAGTGGTGCCTGCGGATTCAACCACTCTGCGCGCTGTATACTATGGATACTAATTTCGTCTCCAGGTGCTAACGCAGCCGCAAGCCTCGGAATCAAGGTGGTTCCGACCCGAGTAGTACCGAAATTATCGTTGGCACGTGTCCAAAACAGCGATGTTCGTATCATACGTGAAAGCTTCATCGAAGTAATACAACTGACGCTAGGGCGTCTTGGTTAAGTTTAGCAGCAAAACATTTTCGCCCATACAGATCAATTCCTAACGCCACATAACGATATCGTACTTTTTGTTTTTTACATAGTTCGTTTGCTTTGTCGTTTATTGCCCCCAGTCACCGAAGCCACATATATGGTTAGCCATTCAGCACGCCACATAATCGTCGTGGTGCTCTTGCCGGAAAATTGATGAAGGAATTTATTTATTTATTGGCACCCCAGACTCAATGAACACCCATACAGGTTGGGATAATGAATATTGGTCGCATGCTCATTCAACTGGTGGGCTTGCTCTGCAACGTGTAGGAACGGGGTTCGTTTCAATTCAATTAGCGGAATATTGCCTTCATAGAAGAAACGTTGAAATGCGATAGCATTTCGGCGTAGCCTACAGCAAAGAAACGAAGTAGCGTGGCTACGTTTTATTATCTAAAACGCTTGTGCCAGTAGCAAGTGATAAGAAACCCCCGAAAATACGTTTCACCATTGAAGAAACGTTATAACGAGCAAAGGAGCACGTCGAAATCAGTTTAAAATATTTTCTTCACACTCTAATTTTAGCTTGCGTGATACAGTCAAATAACAAACGCTTTATTTTTGAAAAACGAAGAACTGTGAACCAATCTTTCTTTTTATTTTTTTTATTCCACCCGTGTTTATTATGATTAAATGCCATAGCAACCCAACATGCTATTTGACGCTATATCTCAAAACGCGACAGACACATCTGAATGTTTCTCCATGGTAAGAGGAGGACATTGAGAGCGTGTATTTAAATTTTATTTGAATGATCGTATTCTTTAATACTCTAAATAAGAAATGCACCGCTCGCGGGCACCTGTGCATTGAATCGCAGCGCGATGCATTAAAGCATCGATTTAAGCGGTTTCTTTTTAAAGGATCAACGCGTCATCGGGTCCAAGCACTCCATCCGGGATTCTATTACACATACAGGGTGCGCGTAAACACGTATGAAAAAAAAAAAAAAACGTTTCTAGGAAAAGCTTACAGGCAGCTGGTGGTTGTCTATGCGTTATTTTTTTGTTTGCATGCCTTCCGTTAACATAGTAGGTGCGCAGTTGTCATATCGTCAAGCTCAGAGCACGTAGGAAAAGTACTAAAACTTGCAGTTAGTGCGTTGCATGTCCCACAGATGTGATAGTTAGGTATGCAGTTTTTTAAATGGTTGAGCAACAATTCTAACGATTGGAGTCTTCGTGTTCGTGAACCCATCAGCTGAAGGTATGCATGAGGATGACTCACAATGTATTATCGTACACACGGCGGTCTCTAACACGCGACTGGTGGCCGTTTCGTACTCCCCAGGGTCACATGGCGTCAGATAATTAATCAAACGTTGCGATTCGTCTTGCAAATTAATTGATCTTTCAGTTCGTGACTACACCGCCTTGGTTGTCTGCTAGGAAGCAGACGACGCTAGAGTGGTTGCCGATGTTATTGCCAGCTGCGATCGGGATAGAACGCGAAAGTGGGAGTACATGACGCCGCCTGGACAGAAATGTAAAAGTGAAGAACAAATCGTCAAAACACGAACGGACACAATGGATTTATGAGACATTTTTATCAGTAAAATACACTTGGAAATACAAAAGAGGATATTGTTTTTTTGGCAAGGTACTGAAATAATTCTTAATTCACCTAAGATGTCATTTCTGGCTTTGACAGTATTAGGCTTAGGTGGACATAGGCCACCTAAGCCTAATAAGCCTAAGCCTAACCTAAGCATAAAAAGGTGGTCCTTCTTTTGTATCTTGTGATCCAGGTAACGTCATGGTCTCATACATCCGCGTTCTATACAAACCGCTAGCACGTCACATTCTCAAGGAGTTTAAGCTTCCTGCGATGCGTAGTTCATTTACACGGACCGAAAAGCACTGTTATTTCTTCTCCATAACACTCGGTACAATGCTTTCGAGAGTGCAGGTAATGAAGCTTTTCCAAAAGGAAAAGTCATCCACTGCAAACGGCGAACGTGACCAGGCGACCAAGGCAGGAGTCGACACGGCATGGCGGGTGGCGTTTCTCGCTGCGCTGATGGCGTTCTTCGAGGCCTCGAGCTTCCGCTCTTCGGGCTTCCTGTACGTCGCGGTCATCGACGAATATCAAGCCGACAGAGGACTGGCATCTTGGCCGGTTAGCGTCTTCGGTACCATGATTGACATGGGAGGTAATGAACTTCTACCATAAAAGCGACCTACCTATTGCAATTTCTGTTATTTGATCTCGGAATAAAAACAGGTTTAGCAGTGGGGAAAGAGAGGGAGAGAGAGAGAGCGCGCAAGATGACAATTGAAAGGTAGAAATGTTAGTCAATCAATCAATCAATCAATCAATCAATCACTCAATCAATCAATCAGTGTTTTTTTAGTTAATGTATACTAACTTTACTGAAAGCCCATCTAGGCCAATAGTAAATTTGGCGAGTTTGGGCCCAATTGCCAATGTACTTGGCTCTAGCTGACACTCAATTTGGCACAAAACAGATAGGGAGGACAGTGCAGTAAAGTTGTGTTGTGCGTATGTCAGGACAGAGAAAAGTTAGGCAACCCCAATAAGTGTCTCGTGTTCCCGGTGTGGATGAAAAATGGAGCCGGTGCAGTTCGACTGTATAGTGTCTTTACATGCGTTGCGCACTAGCGATACATAACCGCATGCCGGTACACTACTCCCCCAGTTACAAACGGGCAGCGGTGTCATTTGACACACAGTGTTCCTGGGGGAGCGAGAGCTTTCGCTCGACGTGCTCCCAGCTGGGGAGCATTGACAGACTCGGCCACTGATCCTCCTGATATAATAATAATAAATCTTTATTTTGTTTTATCACTGAAACGGGGCACCAAAACAAAAAGCTGCTGCAGCAGCTTGACGGAGGTCCTGGCCCCCTTCGTAGCAGGCGATTCCCAAGCAATTTCAGAAATGAACAAAATAGCTACATTGAGAGAAAGGACAATATATTAACTGCACACACCACAGATCAAACAAAAGCAAGAGAAAAATGAAATTAATACATTCATTGTAGTACACCATGGTACGGTGATCCGTACGCTTTAGCCGTACGTAAGAAAACAACCCTAAAATAATGCTTGTAGCTCTGCCAGCGTCATTGCATGAATATCAACACCTTTAAAATATTTCATTTAATAAAGTAGTGAATTGGTAATCTAGTGTGCGATTATAATATATTGTACGTGATGATGAAACAAAACATTTTTCTTTAGGGCGGAGTTGATATGAGGAAGTGAAAAGGACTAGATTACATAATTTCCCAAGAACTTGAAGTCGGGACTTGTAAATATTTGAAATTGGTTTTATATTAAACAATGAGAACAAGTGTTCAGTATGATCATAGTATGAAACATTGGCAATAGCACGCGCAGCTTTTTTTCGTAAAATATGTAGTTTATTTATATTTGTTTTTGTTGTATTTTCCCAAACAAGATGACAATAATTAAGTTGGGAATATACCAAAGCGTTGTAAAGTTGGAGCTTAACAAACGAGGCAACAATGATTTAAGATAACATATTAAGGGTGCAGGCGAGCTGGTGAATGTTAACCATGTGGAATAACCTGAGACTGGGGCAGAAGTGAACAAATAAGTTTTGGAATGGAGTTTTTTGTTTTTGTTTTTGTTTTTCGGAATCAAGTAGGTACTCATTCTTTTGTTAAATTTTGAGGGAGATTGTCGAGCTATTTTTGTGAATCGGCATGAAGGGCCGTCCATAGTACTACTTTGTGTATTGGAGGCTTTGGCATTTGGACTGTTTAGAGGTTGTCTCTTTGTGTAGGTTGTGGCTGATTGGAGGGTTCGGCGTTTGAACTCGTTAAAGTTTGCCCCCCTTTTGTTTTGGTGGTGGCTGATTGCGGGCTATATAAGGAGGCGGACTAAACAAACCTGGTAGCTGAGTTTGAGACGTCGTCCTGTCCTTTTCTGCTCCTTCGACTTATTTGTTCACGTCTGCCCCAGTCTCAGGTTATTCAACAGGGCTAATAATTTAAATTTGGTTAGCAAGCCCACTGTTTTCGACAGTTTAAACGAAAGATAATCAATATGTTTATTCCAAGACATACTACTTGTAAACTAAACACCCAAACTCTTCATAGTGTCGACAAATTCAATTTTTTCATTGTTCAAAATCAGTTGGTTTGGAATCACAACTGTAGCATGTTGACTTATGAATAAAATGGCTTCTTTTTTTTTTGGGGGGGGGGGGGGGGAATTGAACTTAAGGTGATTGTCTTTTGTCTATTTTTCAACACGATCAAGAACGCTATAGTATTTATTTACTAGATTACGGATATCTTTAACGGAAAAGAAGAGTCTAGTGTCATCAGCATATATAATAAAGCAAACTTTAAGATTGGGATTTTCATTTACAATATCGTTAATATAAAGAATAAAAGGTAGGGGGCCTAAAATGCTGCCTTGGGACACATTATTTGTTATTTTTGAAATATCAGATTTAAGGTTTAATATAAACACGAACTGGATACGATTCTGTAAGTAAGATTGTAACAAACTTAATGTTTTTCCACGAATGTCATAGTGTTCTAATTTTGCTATCAGGACATCGTGGTTTCTTGTGTCGAAGGCTTTAGAAAAATCTAAATATACACCGAGTATTAATAAGTGATTATCTAGTGCTCTTAATATTATTTATTTTTGTCTTATTAATGCTAGTTCAGTGGAATAACTTTTACGAAAGCCAAATTGAGAATTTGCAATTAAAGGATATTTCTCAAGATGAAAGACAAATCTATTGTAAACTAGTGTTTTGAGTGGATTAGAAAATTCTGGAAGTATAAGAATTGTTCTAAATTGGGAATAGTATTTAAATCACCCCCTTTATGCAACAAACTAACTTAGGCAACCTGAATTTTGATAGGAAACTCACCGGACTCAAGTGCAAGATTGAGTATATAAGTAAGGTATGGTGCTAAGATATCTAGAACACACGTTGCTTGTTTTATTTTCATTTTGTATGCATCGATGCTTCTACTACTGTTAGGCTCATATATATATTATAGACTTCGGATACATCAGTGGGAAAAAGAAATATAGAATTAAGCAAGGGTGAATGCATGCACTGATCTGCATTATTTACAGTAGTAGTAGAAACAGGAGATGTGGTGCACGTGATAGACACGGAGCCGCATATTCGGAAACGCCTGTTCTTGGAGTCGTGGCATATCCAGAACACACCGGGGAACATTAACAAGTCCCTCTGGGCCTTACCATCTATTTACGTCCATGGCCTGCGTCACGTTCACAAAACATCACCTCGGTAGAAGAGGAAGGAGAGGTCAAAGCTCGCGCTGTCCCATTCCATTTTTAGTCACCCCTGAAAGAGTCAAGTCGACCCCGAAAAGTTGGGAAGTTTGTTTCTAAACTTTTGGTCTGAGTTTTCTTCTTTTCGAATTGTTCCCCAAACCAGAAAGATTTCTGTCGAAGATGTTTACTTTGGAGATGTGGCATGATTTACAACATAGCTACTAAAAGCATTCATCTTATCCGGCCCAGACATTATAAAATCATTTATGTTAATTTCGACTGGCCTAAATGCCTTTGCCTTGTAGTTAAGCAATTGTTTCGAGTCTTTGCCACGTCACGTCACTTTGACGTATAACATCGATATTAAACTTATTAATATAATAATTTTTCTTTCCTTGTCGCAGCATTCTTGTTAGTTTGTTTCTTTATTTCTTAAAAACTAAGTTTCTAATTTTTCCTAGATTTCAGAAACTGGCCATATAATTTTTTTTTGTGCGAATCATAGTGAGGAGCTAGAGATGTGACGGCCAACTAATTTGTTTTAATGAAAGATCAGCTTACGTTCGTGGTATTCGAGCAATATTGATGTTACAGCATATGCCTGAACGAGGAACACGAGGTAAACATTTCTATAAGGAACAATATTAAGTATTTCTCTCTCTTTCCCTCCATTGAGAAAATCCCATAAAAAAGCTCCGGTTTATTAGAAACAGCTCTGAATTGAACCTTGTTTCGTGTATTAATAGTTATTCGATTCTCTCTGATCCCAAGTTTAAAAATACGTAATTTCATAAACTGAATGTAGAGAAATTTAGGCATCAACAATGAATACAGGGCATGAACCACATTTTGCTTCAATACAGAACTAGTAAACGTGACGTATGTAAAAAGGCCGAACTCATGCCCTCGTAAGGTAAAAAGGGGGTTATAAATTGAAGAGCTTGTTTTAAAATGAGCTGGAGGAATGGGCATCCGTACTCAACGAGACGTTTAATCAATGGTATACGTGCGATTTTATGTGAATTCAGGCGGTGTGGAAGATCCATATATTTTAAGTTTTCTTCACATTTTATATGTAGTGGCATATGAGAAAAAAAGTATATGAATGTTTGTATGTTTAATCAATAAAGATATCCCAAGAGATCGAAGTAGGACGGCGGATATTTGGCGATTGTCGTGTGCAGCACATTTGAATTCGACGTCACTACAAAACTATTAGAAAAGAATCGCCAATAATTATTATGAAGAATTATGTATAACCTAATCATTCATTATTTTGTGAAAGTATGTGATTATTTGTAAACAGCTTAGCTATAATTTCGAAGCGTTGGGATTCACAGAATTTTTCAACTCATTTCATATACGAAACTTATTCTGCCGAGAACTGCTTTGAATTGTACGAACAATCTAAAATCGCTAGTTCCTTTGCGTATAGTGGAGGCGGAATGCGCTGCAAACGTATACTCTTAATTTTTCTTTGCTGTCACACGTGCCACGGGGGAAGTGCATTGCCGTGCTGCAGCAATACAACGAATTTCAGCAAACACGAGCTGTTTGGCCTGATCACAAAATTCAGGTTGTTCTAGAGCAGGTTACTAAACGACGTGCTGTTGCTACTTGACTCCCCTGGCTTGTAATAATCGGTTATTGGTATTTTATGGTCACAGACGACCATGAGAATAATCTTGACCTGCGTCAGAACTGCCTGGAACTTCTTTTTTCTTGGTGACAAAGTGTTCCTCCGTTCTTTGATTGATCCCTGACTGGACATCGTGAATTCAACATTCGTCTCCAGTCACAATGAGTTGAAGGAAATCATCTCTATGTTTCAAAGCGTCGGAGTAGCGCCTCGCACACATCCACATGGCGTTTCTTAATGTCTTACGTAAGTTGTCTT